ATCCAGCTCCACACCTTGTTATCTTATAACATTCTATTAGCTTTCTTGATTACTTGCTATTCCTAACCTGCTGTAATTTGTGCAGTGGGATACTCAGATCTCTCTGCATTTCAGAGCTCTGCAACTTTCACACTTTAATCATTCTTTCTGCCAAATGGACAATTTCACATTTTCCCACATTGTACACCATTTGCCAGATTTTTGCCCAGTCATGTAATCAATTTATATCCCTTTGTAGGATCTTTATGTCCTTTTATTTATTTATTTTGCAGGATGTAGGCATCACTGGCTGGTCAGCATTTATTATCCCATTCCTAGCTGCCCTTGAGAAAGTGGTGATGAGCTGCCTTCTTGAACTGCTGCAGTCCACCTACTGTAGGTGGACCCACACTGGCATTCGACGGTGGGGGGGAGGGGTGCGGATTCAAAGATTTTGGCCCAGCGACAGTGAAGGAACGGTGATATATTTCCAGGTCAGAATGGTGAGTGGCTTGGAAGGGATCTTGCAGATGATGCTTTCCCATGTATCTGCTGCCCTTGTCCTTTTAGATGGAAATGGTTGTGGGTTTGGAAGGTGCTGTCTGAGGATCTTTGTTGAATTTCTGCAGTGCATCTTGTAGATAATTCACATCACACTGCTGCTACTGAGTGTCGGTGGTGGAGTGAATGTTTGTGGATGCAGTGCAAACAAGCGGGCTGCTTTGTCCTGGATGGTGTCAAGCTTCTTGAGTGTTGTTGGGGCTGCACTCATCCCGGCAAGTAACGAGTATTCCATTACACCCCTGACTTGTGCCTTGTAGATGGTGGACAGGCTTTGCGGAGTCAGGAGGTGAGTTACTCGCCACAGTATTCCTAGACTCTGACCTGTTCTTGTAGCCATTGCATTTATGTGGTGAGTCGAATTGAGTTTCTGATCAATGATAACTCCCAGGATGTTATTAGTGGGGCATTCAGTGATGGTAACACCATTGAATGTCAAGCGGTAGTGGTTAGATTGTCTCTTATTAGTGATAGTCATAGCCTGGCATTTGTGTGGTGCGAATGTTATTTGCCACTTGTCAGCCCAAACCTGGAAATTGTCCAGATCTTGTTTCATATGAACATGGACTGCTTCAATGCCTGAGGAGTCACAAATGGTGCTGAACATTGTGCAATCATCGGTGAACATCCCCACTTCTGACCTTATGATGGAGGGAAGGTTATTGATAAAACAGCTGGGGATGGTTGGGCCTACGGCACTGCCTGAGGAACTCCTGCAGAGATGTACTGGAGCTAAGGTGACTGATGTCCCACAACTACAACCATCTTCCTATGTGTCAGATATGACTCTAACCACTGGAGAGTTTGCCACCTGATACCCATTGATTCTAGTTTTACCAGAGCTCCTTCATGCCACACTTGGTCAAATGCAGCTTTGATGTCAAGGGCTGTCACTCTCACCTCACCTCCAGAATTCAGCTCTTTTGTCCATGCTTGAATCAAGGCTGTAATGAGGTCGGGAATTGAGTGGCAGAACCCAAACTGACCATCACTGAGCAGGTTATTGCTGAGCAGGTACTGCTTGATAGCACTGTTGATGACACTGTCCATCATTTTACTGATGATCGAGAGTAAACTGATGGGGCAGTAATTGGCGAATTTGGATTTGTCCTGCTTTTTATGTACAGGACATACTTGGGCAATTTTCCACATTGTTGGGTAGATACCAGTGTTGTAACTGTACTGGAACAGCTTGGCTAGGGAAATGGCAAGTTCTGGAGCACAAGTCTTCAGTGCTATTGCCGGAATGTTACCAGGGCTTGTAGCTTTTGCAGAATGCAATGTCTCCAACTATTTCTTGATATCATGTGCAGTGAATCGAATTGGTTCCCCTTCACAACTCATTTTCCTGTCTTTCTGTCATAAGCAAATTCAGCTACCATACCCTCAATCCCTTCATCTAAATTATTTATATAAATTGTAAAAGGTTGAGGCCCCAGCACCAACCCCTGTGGCTAACCACACATGATATCCTGCCAGCCTGAAAAACAAACATTTACTGTTACTCTCTGCTTCCTGTTAGAAATCCAATCTTCTATCCATATCAATACGTTATCCCCTAAATCATCAGTTTTTATTTTCCACAATAACCATTGATATGGCACCTTATTAGAAGCCTTTTGAAAATCTAAGTACAGTACATCAACTGGTTCCCCTTTATCTATGCCATAAGTTATTCAAAGGCCTCCAATAACTTTCTTTAAACAAAAAACATGTTGTCTCTGATTACTTTGAACATATTGAATTACCTTGTTATAATGCCTTTAATAAAAGTTTCTAACATTTTCCCTGTGACAGTTGTTAAGCTGACTGGCCTGTAGTTTTCTGTTCTCTGCCTCTCTTACTTTTTTGATAAACAGGTTACATTAGCCACTTTCCAATCTAAAAGAACATTCTCCAAATCCAATCAGCATTGAAAAATTTAAACCAACACATCAACTATCTCACCAGCTATTTCTTCTAAGACCCTAGGATGAAATCCAACAGGACCTGGGGACTTGTCAACTAACAGTTCCAATAACTTATTCAGTATTAATTCCCTGGTAATTGTAATTTTCTTGAATGCCTCCTTCCCTTTCAACTCCTGAGTTACAGCTACTTCAGGAATGAGAATTGTATCCTCTCTGGTGAAGACCAAGGCAAAATATCTGTTTAATTCATCTGCCATCTCTTTATCCTCCATTACTAATTCCCCAGACTCATTTCCCTTTGGACCAACACTTACTTTGTTAATTATTTTCATTTTTAAACATCTGAAGAAACTTTTCACATTTGTTTTTATCTTTTTGGCTAACTTTTTCTTGTACGCTAATTTTTCCCTTCCTTAATAATCCTTAAGTAAATCTTTGCTGCTTTTTTTATATTCTCTCCAGCCTTCTGACCTGCCACCTATCTTTGCACCATTATATGTCTTCTCTTTGAGTTTCATGCTATCTTTTGACTTTTTTAGTTAACCATGGATGGCAGGTCCTTGGAGTTTTTCTTACTTGTTGGAATGTATCTATTCTGTAGTTTCTATAATATCCCCTAAATTCTTGCCACTTCATCTCTATTGATCTACTCCTTTACATAAATTGCCAGTTTAGTTTTGCTAACTCAGCTTACATGTCCTCATAATTGCTGTTGTTTAATTTAAAGTAGTAGTCTTGGATCCATACTTCTCTCCCTTAAGCTATATGTAAAATTCAATCATATTCTGGTCGCTGCTACCAGGGTCACTTTCACTGTAAAGGCAGTCATTGATCCTATCTCAACATATTGGAATCATACTGGAAAACACTGGAAAATACTTCAGAAGATGGCCAAATTGCATCCTGACTGTTTTTTCAAATATAAGTTGTACAATAAAAGAAAAATACAGTGCAATATCTGAAATAAAAACAGAAAATGCTGGAGGCAACATGTGTGGAGAGGGAAATAGAATTAAAGTTTAAATCTAATATAACTTTCCTTCAGAACTGAAGAAAAGTAGAAATATCATTTTGAGCTGTTAAAAAAGCGGGAGGGGATAAGTAGATCAAAAGCCAAGGTCAGGGAAAAGTTCCAAGGTAAGGGACATTGTACGATCAAAGATGTCATGGAACAAGAGGTAGAGGGAGTGGTAATAGTTTTACAGGAGTAAAACAAAGGATTAGTCCAGTGTAGATATTAATGTTAGAATAAACGTCAGCTCTGACAGAGAGCAAAAACATGGAAGCAAGATACCCATAGCCACTATCCATTCTCGCCATAGCTGCATTTATCCTAGCAAAGTTCATGTCAATCATGACCAAACTGAGTTACCTCTGCTACTCAGACCAGATCACATTTCTAAGAACTTTCGGTGTCAAAGTTTTTGAAACTGTTTTGCTTAGGAAGTCCAAACGAAATAGTGAATTTTAAAAATCTAACCATCTATGTTTCCAAACTGTAGTTTCTCCTGGCATATTTAAAGCAATTTTATACATTGAGCTTGTTCCTACAAAATCCATTTTAGTTTGGAATTTTTCAGCTAACAAACTGACCCCACACAATATGGTTTGGTTCGCAGATCAGGTCCCAGAGGTGAGAAGGCAAGGTTTTAATGCCCAGCACTTCACTGTCTTTGGGAGTTTATCTTAATCTGAATCTCTTTCATTAGATTATAGTCCTGTAAATCACGGAGAAGCATCTACTTCTAAACCACACATGATGATAATATATTATTCCCATGATAAAGATGTTATACCTGAATATTCAGAACACTGAAAATCCTTCACATTCTGGAGACCTTTTGAGATGCGAATGATGATTTTACATTCACCAAATGATTTCTAATGAAAGTACATAAAGCATAATATTGGATTAGTGTCAGTATAGTCATACAAACCATGTTCCAGAATGTCAAAACTGGGCTGATGATCATAAAACTGGAGTGACTGCATTAATCTCAACTCAGCCTTGATGATTTCACAAATAGGTCTGTGACTGTTTACCCTCAGACCCCACACTGTAATAACTGGCAGTATTAATGCCATTACATTAAATTCAAATTCTAGCTCAATTATGCCAACATGAATGTTATTGCAACCATTCTTAAACTTTCACACCTATACTATAAAACCCAATCCAATAACCTCCGCACCAACAGTACTAATAACTTGCCCTATAGTTATCCCAGCAACATAACTGCAATTAGTCCAGTACATAATGACCTAAAGGTAATTGAACATGTCCTTCCAGAGTTATGGTGAAAAGGCTGGACCTTAGGTTTAATTTGGATAACTCATTCAAAGAGCTAGAACTTGCACAATGAGCCAACCCATTTTTATACTTTATGATTCTACAACTAATCCAATAGTCCTCTCACCTGCACTATATCATAAGGCAGTGGGCAAGTACTTGATGGGGTCATGGGATAAAAGCAGGCATACAGAATTAAGCTGGGAGCCTATTTTCAAAGAACTAGCACAGATACAATGGACCAATTGGCTTCCTTGATCTCTATTGTAAGATTACATCATCAGAATTTTGCAGTGCCTCCCATTTTGGGAAGGTAAAATGTGGCAGTATACCAACAGCACTGTTTTGGCACCTAATTGTCCCTGCACACACCACTACAATGTCACCACCACCAGTGGCAACAGAAGCACCAGCCAGCCAACTTGCCCCTGAACACATAATGTCTACATAAAGGAGCCACTGTCTCTAGCATAAAATCCAGCCCTGTAATTCTACAGCTAGTCCAATCAAATTCACATTTACACCACAAGCAGAAGTCAAATAACTATCACACCAACACCACAACTTGTCAAATAACCTATATGATAAACTGTGACGCAACTAACGCGATAAGCCTCACAACTCTACAATACAGTTTGTCAAAAAGTCATCACTTCTATAGTACAACAACTCGTCCAATGATCCTCACATGTATACCACAATAACCGCGCAAATAAACTTCACACATAGCAACTAACCAACTAGCAGTTATGTCTTGATAGAGTCAAGCAGCCCATACTTCTTATAATGAAAAAGTGAAGAGTAAATTACAAATACTTTAATTATGAAATAAAATAATAGCCTTCAGGAAGCACACAGTATATCACTCAGATCTATAACAAGAAGAAAATGATTGTTGACATAAAGTGATAAGTATAACACTTCATTAGATCTGATGATATAGTTAGTCGCTATTTCTACAGCTGTTATACAAACAGCATAATCAGTCTGACTAGGGAATATCTTTGAATGTTTAATATTCAGTAAGAATTTTACATAAGAAACTATAAATAATTGGTTCTTTACCATTGAGCGAAATGGTCGAATTCCACACCTTTTTAATGGCTTGGAACTTCTGACGGGACATCTGGTTTCAAAAACCTCAAACTCCAAATAATAGCTTTTCTCATATTGTTCCTGAAATCATTTAAGAAACTGAAATAAATATACTGCATCAGAGGTTTGGATGATCGATTTCCTTCCTACTATTTACTTTACTGTGATATAAATATGGTCACAACTTCAAGGGATTGACCATGACTAAGTGGTCATCTTTTAGCTGAGCCAGAAGGTTGTGGTTTCAAGAACCAGTCTGTAGACTTAAACATAAAAACTAGACTGTCAATTCAGTGTTTTTTTTTAAGTGCTGCACTATCAGATGTGTCATTTTTCATATGAATGTTAAATGAGTACCCTTCCCGTTTGTTTCAGGTGATCACAATAGATTCCATCACATGATTCAAAAAAGTGACGTGGTCAATACTAGAACAAGTTATCTGACCATTTTCTGTGGCGCAGGACATCAGAACTATACAATCAACCATGAAACAAGAGTTAGTCCTATGAACAATATTGTATGGTCCACCGTGCAGTGGAATTGAGAGGCAGCTGCAATGAGAGATGGTCTTGGCTCTGCTTTGAGCATTGCGTTCAGTTTCGTATGGACAGCAACTTTGAGATGACTCCTGCTCAACGCAGTAGGAATGTGGTCCCATGGGACTCCTGATTCCCTCACCAGTCCCTCAGCCAAAAATCGGATCGGTTCCAAACTGGCAACTGGACCAAACGGGCCCAACCAGCACCAGATACAGGAGCCTACAGCCTGGCCCTCCACAGCCAGAGATCCCTGTGACGTAACGGTCCCCGCTACCTAAATAGCCACAAGCGAGACTGCGCTCACTCTGATATGCAGCTCCATCCAGTTAGTACTGCAACAGCTCGGTCTGTACCAGCATCCCTTCTTAAGTGGCAAGCGTTCACCTCTGCTCTTCAGTCAAGCCTGGGTCAGAAAAGATTTCCAGGCGCACAGACTGTGTAGGCCTTGTGTACTTTCCCCTCCTGATTAAAGCTCAAGCCATATTTTTCATCCAGTGAAAATTGATTGAGGTAAGTTTCAAACACGAAGTCCTACTTTCCCGAACTAGAATGTTGAACCGGAGGAAAACAGCAACACTTTTGTGAACAGCCTGCATTTCGCAGAAATCAAATCTAAAGATGCCTCCACGCTCTCCTGACACAGACCATGGAAAACATCTGATTAAGGTTTCCGAAAGTAGAATTATTATCTCCCTTCCTTTAATAAAGCTTCAACCCACCTGCTTTTCCTGGGCATTCTTCAATCTATTCAGTCTGTATTTGAATCCCTTTCTTCGGACATTATTGATGAAATAAACCGCAAGGTCAGCAGCTTTCACTGCTCCCACTGCATCGCAAGGAATTGCAGAGAAGGTGATAACTTGGCGATAAGCAACAACAGGCAAGTTATGGAACTGAATGCAGGTCACTAACATGACTAACCAATTCATGATGCTTCAAGACTGGAGCAGATAGTCACAAGTTCATTTCCAAGAAAAAAAATACACAGGATAGAAAATGAAATAAGCAGGTTTAATGTTATTTCTTACAGTGATTTTCAGCCAAGGAACGAGGAAAATAATTTCACATATCACTGAAAGCCTGCGGTAAACACAGATAATGATCGAGACCTTCCCCAGAAGAAATGAACCCTGGTATGTTTGATTTAGCAAGGTTCATTCAGTCTAATAAAGTCCATTTTTTATTGCAGGAGTGATTACGAAATCCATCAGGGTCTGACCCAGATAAAGATCATTCTAGAAAATGCATTTGTTGACAATTCCTGTAGAGTCCAGAGATGATATGACAAGACAGGTACATTAATAATATTGAATAATTGTCTTGTGCAAGGCTGCACAATGATTTCGTATTAGCGATCTACATCTAACATTTGGAATGCTAATTGCCGCATATCTAAATACAATTATTGGCATGTGTACATGTCATGTGTACATGTGATTTTGATTTGATAGTGTGATTTGAGCCATTTAATGAATTACAGGGGGTTCACCAATTTACGAACATCTGAATCGAACTCAATCGATCGCAATCCAACACAAGGGTGTAATTTCAAAGATACCACATACGAACATTTCCTGTACTCTCAAATGGCAACTTTATATAGTCTTGCATTTGTTCTGATTTGCGTATAAATCGACTTGCAAACGGACTCAAGAGCGGAACCCATTTGCAACCTGGAGACTTGTCTATATTGAATTTCATTGTGAAAATGAAACAATCTAATTGGGAATAGACTATTGAATCGTTGCTACCACGTTCGAATTTTCACAAGAGAAAGCTTTGTGAAAGAGGAGAAAGGCAGGGAGATTTTGGACCTTTTAGGTTGCAAACATACTCCGTTTCTGTGGGAAGAATGAATAATTCAGTTTTGAGAATGACGTTCTAAAATGCAGAAGAACTGAAGAAGTCATTTGAAACTGCCGTTAGTTAGCAGACTGAGACACAGCGGTTCCAGTTGGAACTCCACTGAGCAACACACTGTTCACATTGTGTGACTGACCCTTAGATGTTCTGAAAGAAGAGAACAGGTATAATAACATACATACACGTGGTGCCATGTGATACCACCCAAATATCGTAATGATCCCAATATCACATTATTATGTAGGCAGAACTAGAAAGGGGTAGAAACACTACCAAAGTGTCATGATCCAGAGTCCCCAAAGTATTGCACGTATGGGTACAAAGTATTTTGCTTCCAAAACGTGCTCTTTAAAAGATGGCTAGCGCAACCAAAAATGGCTGCCGAAGTATATCAAGTGGCTGACTAGAGAGGGAGACCAACCAAATGTCACACCTAAAGATGCAAAGGGAGTTGTGAACAACAGACCCTCAAAGTGAGGAAGAGGGTGGCAGTGAGTAGCAACCGAGGAGGATTCTGGAAGAAATTGGCTCACTCACCACAACTGAGAAAGGTATCATGGACGACCGAGTGTCAAAGAACGGTTAAGCCCCATTACTGCGGTGTTTCCCATCCTCCTCCTCGAACCAAAAAGAACAGAAGTAGAGAAGACCTGTTAGAGAATTTTTTGTGGCTTAGAAACAGCAGAGCCTCAGCAGCGAGCATCATGATGACCAGTAAAGATTGCAGGGACTTTGGGAAAGCCTGTAATGTGCGTGACATGTAAAGTGTGGGATGTTTCGGATCCACAAGATACCCAGGACAGTCACACCTGTATGAAGTGCCAGAAGGTAACAGTCCTTGAGCAACATGTGACTGATTTAGAGTAATAACTCTCTATACTGAGCACTATTCAGGAAGGAGAGAGGTTTGTGGAACAGTTGCATAAGAGCGCAGTCACTTCATATCATGATAGGCAGGCAAGGAGGAGTGCAGAGGTGGCAGGTGAGTGAGTGCTTTTGTTGAAAGGAAAGGAGACAGTGGGTCTGGGGAACCCAGACTCCCTGGAACTATCTAACAGATGAGAAATTTTCAATGCCTGTTGATTCAAGGGTGGATGACACATAGAAAACCATGGTACATTGGTGCTTGAGGCTGCTCTGAGAAAAGAGGGTGGCAGGTAGGTAGATTAGAAAGGTGACTCAATATCTGAGGGATAGACAATGTGGTTTGCAGCCAAGGTCACAAGTACCATATGTCTGTTGCTTCCTGGATGGAAGGATTTGGGACATAATGGAGCAGCTGGATAACCTTCTGGGAAGATAGGGTAAACAACCAGAGTCTGTGGTTCACGTGGGAACCAACGAAATAATGAGGGACAGCTCAGAGGACTTGCAGGATCAGATTCAGGAGTTAGGGAATGCAGGAATGCAGTTGAAATGCAGGATCCCCAGGGTAGTAATCTCAGAAATATTACTTGCAAGGCTTGAGGGATGGCATAGAAGGGAGGGGTTTAGATTTTTGGGACTTTGAGATCGTTTTTGGAAAAGGAGAAAGCTTTTCAGAAGAGGTAGACTTCATCTGACTAGAAATGGGAGTTATTTCCTGGCTGAGATAGTAAATAGTGTAGTGGGAGTAGATTTAAACTTGTAAGGCAGTAGTGTGGTTTGACTAATAGGCTTAGTTTTGGAAGTGCCAGAGTGGGAAAAAGAGAGAAACTGTGGAATGGGGAAAAAGAAGTGAGGACAGAACAGTGGATGTTGTTTACATGGATTTTATTAAGGCTTTCGACAAGGTCCCTCATGGTAGGCTCATCCAGAAGATTAAGATGCATGGGATCCACGGTGACCTGGCCGCATGGATTCAGAATTGGCTTGTCCATAGAAGACAGAGGGTATTGGTAGAAAGGTGTTTTTCACACTGAAGGTCCGTGACTAGTGGTGTTCTGCAGGGATCCGTAGTGGGACCTCTGCTGTTTGTGGTATATATAAATGACTTGGATGAAAATGTACATGGGTGGGTTAGTAAGTTTGCAGACAAAACAAAGATTGGTGGAGTTGTGGATATTGTAGAAGGTTGTCAAAGGGTACAGCGGGATATAGATCAGTTGCAGACATGGGCGGAGAAATGGCAGATGGAGTTTAATCCGGGTAAGTGTGGGGTGCTGCACTTTGGGAGATCAAATGTTAAGGGAAAGTATACAGTTAATGGCAGGACTCTGAACAACATTGATGTACAGAAGGATCAGGGGTTCAAGTCCATAGCTCCCTGAAAGTGGCCATGTAAGTAGATAGGGTGGTAAAGAAGGCGTATGGCATGTTTGCTTTCATTGGTTGGGGAATTGAGTACAAGAGTCAGGATGTCATGTTGCAGCTTTATATTATTTTGGTTAGGCCACAGTTAGAGTATTGCATTCAATTCGGGTTGCCACATTACAGGAAGGATGTGGAAGCTTTGGAGGGGGTGCAGAAGAGGTTTACCAGAATGCTGCCCGGATTAGCAGCTGTAAGAAGAGGCTAGAAAACCTCGGGTAGTTTTTCTTGAGCAGAGCAGGCTGAGGGGAGACTTGATAGAAGTCTTTAAAATTGTGAAACGTATAGATAGGATTGACGGTCAGAATCTTTTTCCCAGTGTTGAAATGTCTAATACTAGCGGGGCATTCTTTTAACGTTAGAGGGAGAAAGTTCGAAGGAGACAAGTGGGGCAAGTTTTTTTTACACAGAGAGTGGTAGGAGTCTGGAACGCACTGCTAGGGGTGGTGCTGGAGACAGATACAATAGAGGCACTTAAGGGACTTTTAGATAAGCACATGAATATGTAAGGAATGGAGGGATATGTACCAATGGCAGGAAGAAGGGATTAGTTTCATTTGGCATCATGTTTGGCACAACACTGTGGGCCAAAGGGCCAATTCCTGTGTTGTATAGTTCTATGTTCTATCTTCTATGGAATGCTTGGGTGTTGACACTGAGCAATGAAATGGTCACCTACCAATGGGCAGGAAAGAGATAAAGGCAGGGTTAACTTGTATGTGTGTATGTAAATGCATGGAGTATAGTAAACAAAACTGGGGAACTGGAAATAGAAATTGCTGTAGGGAATATCACATAGTAGCATTGAAAGAAATGTGGTTCAATCTTGAATAGGACTGGATACTTAACATCCCTCATTATAAGGCTTTTAGTAGAAACAGTTTAAGTAAAAAGGGAGGAGTTGTAGTGGTCAAAGGTAGTATCATTAACCTTGAATGAGATGCAGTTCCTGAATTAAAATCTATATAGTTGGAGTTGAGAAACGGGAAGGGAACAATGATCTCATCGTGTATTTATTATAGACTTCCAAATAGTGGAGAGGAAGTAGAAGAGGGCATTTGTAGGCATTTTATAGAAATTAGCAAGAGAAGTAGTGTTGTGGTAGTTGGTAATTTCAATTATCCTAGAGTAGCCTTGGAAAAAGGTCGATTGTGGGTCACAGGAGGGGAGAAACTCCTGCAATGTCTGCAGGAGAACTTTCTGAAACAGTACATTTCCAATCCTACAGTGAAGGGGCTGTACTGGATCTGGTTCTAGGAAATGAGGCACACCAAGTGGAGAACATCACAGTGGGAGAGCATTAGAAAATAATGAACATAATTAAATAAGGTTCTATATTAAGTTGGTAAATGATAAAAATCAGTCACTGATTAAGAATCTAGACTGGAAAAGGGTAGATTTTAGCAATCTATAAATTGAACTGGAACAAATTATTTGGAAATGCATTTTGGTTGATAAAACTGGATTGAAAATGGGAGTATTTCAAAAGAGTGATGAATTGGATGCAAGCTAGGTACATACCCACGAGAAATAAACACAGGGTATCCAAAGCATAAACCCTGGATGACTAAGGATAGTGGTGAGAAAATAAGAAAGAGAAAAGAGGCACATCACATATTCTGGAATAATAATAGCAATAGAAATCAGGATGAGTATCTTAAATGCAGGAGACAGGCTAAGGCTAGAATAAGGATGGCTAAGAGGAAATATGAGGAAAATGACAGGCTGCATTAAAACAAATAGTAAAATGTTCTTCAAACATATTAATAGTGAAAGA